GTGTATATATATGTGTATATATATATATGTGTATATATATATGTATATATATATGTGTGTATATATATGTGTATATATGTGTATATATGTGTGTATATATATATATATGTGTATATATATGTGTATATATATGTATATATATATGTATATATATATAAATATATAAATGTTAATCTATAATATAAAGTCATGTATACATGTTCTGTGGGGAAAATGTTTTCATATAACATTAACTTTTTGCAAGTTTTTTCTTGATGTGTATAGTATACATGTCGCAAGTGTAAACACAATTTAAAAGATATTCAAACTTGTTGCCATGTTGGTGGCTAATATCGTTTTGTCTATGTATTTTAGTGATTTTGTCTAAACAATTATAAAAAAGTTATTTGAATAACTTCAATTTGAAATTGCAACAGGCTGCTTACTTAGTTGGTATTTCTGACCCTGCCTCTGAACCTGGACGTCCAGGTGTTGTTGACCAAACTCAGTTTGCTCGTGCTAATCAAGCTATACAGATGGCTTGTCAGAATCTGACAAATCCAGCAAGCTCACAACAGCAGGTGAGTTACTTTTGTTATATTGAACTATTCAGCTGCTAATCTTATTTGTTTCAGCAGAGCAAAAAGAATGGTGGTCTTTTTAAATGACATTTCTCAACAACTGAAACAAGTTTAGATTTACAATTTTAATAACTTTAGTTTTTTATTTTTAACTTTGTGCAAGTTTTGTAGTATGAATGTATGTTTTTTCATAATTAATATTACAGATAATCTCGATCCTGGTGTGTTTTTTAACTTGAAGTGCAATGCCAAATGAATATAAAATAAACCACTTAATTTTTTAAATAGTTAAAATTCTGTTCTGATTAAAATTACTTTACAATGTACTAAAAAATCTGTTAAGGAAAGAGATTATCTAATTTTTAGTTAAAATTTAGACTTTGCATCAGTGTGTGTTTTAATGAATGCTTTAGAAAATGTGTATTTAAGCCTGTTGCATATTTACGTTTTTTTTTAATATAAAAGGGTTTGTATTATTAGCCTCAATCTTATTAAGATTGGCATGAAATTAAAAACAAATTCAGCAACATTTGCTTCTTATAATGTCTTTTTTTAAATGATAAAGTTATAATGTTGGTTTATAGTCAATACATAATGCATCATTATTTAGGGTAGCAACACAAAAGCTCAGGTATGTTTCTGTCAACATTAATCCACATTTACATTTAACTGTTGGTTTTTTTTTTTTTTTGGGGGGGGGGGGGGGGTCTTAGACCAAAAATAATACAAAAGTCTTAGAAAAAAAAAGAAATAGTAACTTAATTATGGTCTAATTTAAAATGTAAATTGTGGATTAATGCATTAATTGGATGTTATAAAATCAATCCTAAAAATATATTATTTGAATATTAATCATTAATTACAATCAGTTAATTAACATGATTATAAAAATTAAACAATAACAAACTACAATTTTGTATCATTGCTAAAATTTTACTTGTTACTAAAATAAAAGAGAATATGCATGACTATTATAAAGTAAATTAAATTAAACTTAATAAACACAACAAATTAAAACCCTCCTTTCATTAAGCATTATTAACACACTTCTTAACTATACTGCTTACATCTAGGAAAGAATATCTGTTGCCTTTCATGTAGATTACTTTCTATTAAAGTTACTTTTTCCAATTGTTTTATGCTGTTGTATCCTTCCCGCTCCTTTTATTATCATGTTAATGAAGAAATGTAAAATATTAATGAAGAAATGTGATTTTAAAAAAATATGTGTCATTTAGTGAAGCATTTAAATTTTAAAATATGCTGAATTAATGAGGTACTTTGTTTAAGAATTTAGTTCAGTAAGTTAACAGCTTTTAACTGCAAAAACAGCAAGACTGAAATAATGTTTCATGTTGATGTGTAAAAATATTTGAAAATGGTTTTTCCAACTTTGACTGAAAAATGTCCTAAAACTGACATTTCTTTTTTTCTAAACATCCATCTTTATGTTATATATATTTAAAAATATATATAATGTTATATATATTTAAAAATTTGAATTTTAAAGGCAAAAAAGCAACATGTACAGCAGTTGTGTATGAAATAAATTAGCATAGCTATATTAACTTTAGGAGCAAGACACACCCCTGCAATTACCCCTTGTATATTATCTCACTGTACTAGTATAATATATAATAGGTATTTTCATGAGCTGGGGAAGGAAATTGACCAAATGAGGAAATTAGTTAGACCCACTCACTTTGTGCTACAAAATAAAAATAAAATGTAAACCCCATTTAAATTCAGCACAAAAACAGACTGTCTAAAGCAATATGTACTGCTGACTGACAGTCCATATTGATACTGATAGTATTATGTTTGAATGCTTAGCTTAAACCATCATTCAGAGGTACACTCATTTATATGTCTTGTGTTGATTAGGTTGAAAAGTTTTCTACTGTTTATTTATATGAAAACAATACTCTTCATTTTGTCATATTTGTGTGATCTCTTTTGAGGTTATCTCTGTATAAATAATAATCTGGACACTGATAAAACAACATTTTTTTTTCAATCTTTTATCAAGTATTATGCTTCATGGAATTTGCGTTCTATGGTAAGCTAATCATGTTTTCACGAGAGCAAAACTGAAAATATTGTGCTATTTCTTCTAAGGAAGCCAGTTTTACTTGATTCACCAGTTGTTTCTTTGGAATTTCTACAGAAAATAAATACAATTTGATTTAATTTATTTTTAGTTATGTTATTCCCCAACCTTCTTCAGCACTTAACAATAAATGTAAATGCTAAAAGATGCAATGCAAAAATATGTGCAAGTATTAATATTTAGTAAAAGTAGTATAAAAGTAAAAAATAGAATTTATGTTGTCTACCAGTTTCATACCTATTCATTTGTTGATAGTAAAAGAAGTAAATATATCATAGGAATTCTACTCAAACATGCAGATCTCTGTAAGCAGACATTAAGTACATCGTCAACTGAGTTTTAGTCATAGGGGAAGTTTATTTTTACTGTTAATTTACATTCAACATTCTATAACTACAGCAGTTTATTTTAACATCTATAATATGTTTACATCTTTGCACTTATTATTATTTGCTGAAAAAGAGCTGTTTAAAATGTCTACTTTTATTTGTTAATTGTATATTGTAAGATATACTTCTTTTTCACTGGCTATTTGTTAAAAATACCAGTGCTCCTTTTTATGAATTTCTTACATTTATATTTCTAAAATTATATTTCTATATTATTTCTTTTGGTTAAAGTTATGCTTTTTCTAGATGATGCTTGTGTACAGTTTCTGTAGAACTATCCAGTTTTTATTTTTAACTGTGATGTTTAAGTGTTAATAATTTGGAAGTAGAATTAGCTTGGCAGTCTATAGTTTGTAAAATAATTCCTGTTGCTGTGGCTTTTAGTTTTGCAGTGGTTATATTCACTATTTTCAAAATTATAGTTACAACACCTGTGCTCATGGTGTGGTTGACTCAGATCTTTATAGTACTACACCAGGCTTGATTGTACTGATTTTAAATTTTATTTATCTTATTGTTTGTAATTTAAATATCTGTACCATCACTACAAAATAGATATGTTTAGTTTTATGATCTTCAATTTATAAATAAATTCTTTCAGATCTGTTACCAAGTAAGTTTTTTCCCCCCATTCTGTCATTTTCTTTTTCCCACACGTTTTGTGTATTGTTTATTTTTTATTCTCTCTTTTTTTAAGTTTTGAATGTCTCGTTATAAAATGTAATTGAAAATTTAGCATTGCTATTAGTATACTTATCATTTACAAATGACAACTTTTACTTTGTAAAAAAAAAACAATTTATGTAGTTTAATTTTGACTGTTTTTGTAAACAGTGAACTTCAGATTTGATTACTGATGAATTTTACGTTCAGTATTTTTTTGTCCCAGTATTGTTTTCCTTTGTAATTTTCCCTATTAGATATATTTGGTATTCAAGGAATTTTTTTCCCAATTTTTTTTTTTCTCTTGATAGCATGATTGCTCAAAATGTGAAACACTGTTTTCTTTAATTACTTTTTAAAAATCTCTTCACATTTGCAAATTCAAGTAAAACACTTCTTAAAGTATTTTCATTAATTAATTTTCATTTTAGGTGTAGCCTACAAGTTGTAATCTATTTTGAACAGTTTGCATAATTGCTTTTCTTACCTTCCCAGAAAATAACTTCATTATATCTAAACATCAGTTAGAAATAACCCATTTGTATCATTGCATAAAATCTTGCTGATCACAATGATTTACATCAGGGGTCTCCAAACTTTTCAGTCCGAGGGCCGCATTAACTATCAAATTTCAGTTCGGGGGCCAGTTTCTTCCAGGCATGTCTTGATTTTTCTGGGCAAAGTTCCTCAGCCATCACCAACAAACGTTTTTTCCGTGGACAAAAATATCTCAGCGGGCCGGATGAGAGGACTTCGCGGGCCACATCCGGCCCGCGGGCCGTAGTTTGGAGACCCCTGATTTACATGATAAAAAATTACTGGTATCAGAAGCTTAGAAAAGTAACAAAGTATTGAAAAAAAACTCACTTTAAGAATTAAATGTGTATGGGTTATTCTATAAATTTTAAACTATGTACTCTTGAACTACTTGATCTAAGTTGTTTACATAGGTTTTTGAGTGACTTTATTAAACTTGACACTTAACACTATCCAATCCACATATATATTTTAAAATAATGTGTGCTTAAGTCTAGGCTATATTTGTTTGTTCTTTTGGTGCATGTTTACTACAGAAAATGACTGCATGCTGTTGATAAAAATATTTATTGGTATTGCCTGTTTTTCTGACTATGCAGACAGATTCTTTTGACTGATTACTAATTGTGTTCTTAGTTTAAGTAGATAAATGTATTTTTGCTCCATTTATTACAAAATGTATGTAGGGATTTTCATACAGTTGTGTACAGTGTTAAAGCCCAAATTTGTTAAATTACTAAACTTATTCTAACATAAATGTCTGTTTTATTTTATTGAGAGAATTTAAAGAAAATAATATTTGATTTAAGAGTTTTTAAAACTAAAATTAAATTTTATTTTATGTAAATAGGTGTTGTCTGCTGCCACTGTGGTTGCTAAACATACTTCATCTCTCTGCAACTCATGTCGGTTAGCATCTTCTAAAACAGCAAACCCTGTAGCCAAAAGACATTTTGTTCAAAGTGCTAAAGATGTTGCTAACAGTACAGCCAGTTTAGTCAAAGCTATCAAGGTGACTTCTTAATTATATCCATCTCCTTGTTTTTTTTTTTTTTACATCTATCACTTCTTACATGAACTGTTTCTTTTTTGTTTTTCATCTGTATAGGCACTAGACAGTGATTTTACTGAAGAGAACAGGCAAAAGTGTGCCGAGGCTGCACGTCCCCTAATTAGTGCAGTTGATGAACTCACAACCTTTGCATCATCTCCTGAATTTGCTAGTAAATCAGCTAAGATTAGCATGCAGGTAATTTATTTTATTAATTTACTAATTCTTTTATTTATAAAATTCAATACAAGTCTGTAAAAATTTACATTGCTTTTATTTTAGGCCAGATCAGCTCAAGAACCAATCACCCGAGCTGGCAAAGATATGATAAATGGAGCATGTGGGATGTTAGAAGCAGCCAAGCAACTAGCTGTCCATCCAAAAGATCCTGCAATCTACCAGATCTACTCTTATCATTCTAAAAACATTTCTGATGCAATAAAATCTCTTGTTTCCTCGATAAAGTATGTTTTACTACATAATTGTACTATAAATTTTTTATGCATAGTACATACATCAGAATGTTAAATATATACCATATATCTATTTTTAAAATCAAGGGATATGGCGCCGGGTCAGCATCAATGTGACAATGCTATTGAACACCTGAATATGGTCATACGTGACTTGGACCAGGCCTCACTTGCAGCGATCAGCCAGAATCTTAAACCTCAAGATGAAAAATCTTTAAAAGTAAGTAATTCTTATTTTTATTTACATCAGAATTAAAGCATTTACTTCAATATGGTGTATTATTTATTGATTATTCTATTGTTTAATGATTGCAAATTAATGGCATCTGAAATTTTTGTTTTAATACTTTAGGCATACCAGGAGCAAATGATCAACAGCGCAAGAGAAATCTTAGATAGGATAGACTTTATTAGGCAAGCTGCCAAGGAAGAACCACAAAACTTGGGACATTTGGTAACTTTTTTACTTAAAAAAAAATATTTTTAGTATTACTTTAAAAAAGAAAAAAATATTTTTAGTATTACTTAAACACTTAAACAGGAAACAGGTTCGAAAAGGGAACTTCACTTTCATTTATTTTTAACAAATCACAACTTCATAGAACTTACACTTAATGTTATTTAATTTTTTTAGTTTTCACTTGCAAGCTATCTTTTTTAAATTGTGTCTTTTACTTAGTTTTTATTTCCAGTTCAAATTTAAATTGGTGGATTTAAAAAGAAAAATTCTTATTAATAAAAATTCCAGATTTCTACTGTATCTTCATATTTTGAACCACTAACAAGATCAGCCATAGGCACTGCCAGCAAAACTGTTAACTCCAAACAGCAAATGAATATTCTTGATCTTACTAAAACAGTAGCAGAATCAGCATTACAATTTATGTATGCTTGTAAAGAAGGAGGAGGCAATCCAAAGGTAACTTTCAATTACTTGTTGCTGAAGTACATCCTTTAAAGAGCATATATTTTTCTCGTTATTTGTGTTTACCCAAGCTCCTTCCAATAAAAATAAAATAATTGCAGGCTACCCATGCTCACCATGCCATTGACAGTGCAGCGGATGACATGAAAGATGTTCTTCAAGATCTACTTCAGACAATGGAAGAAGCAGCTTCACAGTCTGGTGTTGTCAACAGTATGATAGACACTATTACTAAATCTATTGCAAAAGTAAGTTGATTTGATTTTTTCAATACTTCATGTGCTGTTATCTTTCAAATAATAAAAAACTTTTAAAATATTTTTAATAGACAGATGAGCGACAGATTGATAGAATGTCTATCATTGAAAGTCTTTCATTTGTTGATCACCAAACAAATATGGTTAGATTAGCCAAACAGATTGCGCGAACAGCACAAGATATGGTATGTATTATTAATTTCTATTTTTTACATTTTAGTTTTAGCTGATATTTACAATTGTACCATTAAATTTTTAAAATTTAGTTTTTGAATATTGCCAGCATTAAATAAATCAATTTACAGCTAAAAAAATTGAATTAATTAGATCATACTATTAAAAAATGTTAATTTCTTTTTCCAGATCGGCAAATCAACAACAAATGTAGGGCAGCTGGGTGTCTTAGCCAATCAGCTTACTCGAGACTTTGCTGCATTAGCAAATGATTCTTTGGGTGCAACACAAGCATCTAATAACACAGAAGTAAGCTTCATCTCATTATTCTCAACTGTTAAGCATTCATGATTATGTCTTGCTGTATTTTTCAACTTTTTGTTATATAGCTAGGCTTAAAGCACAAATTAAATAAATACAAATAATGTGAATAGCCAATTTGAAAATTCCAAGATATATATGTCACCTGCAAAATTTTCTGGAATGAATAAGCTTATCCTACACTTTGCTGAGTCCCCTGTTTGGCATTCTATAGAATTTCGGCATTTATTACTTTGCCTGTAATATATAAAACCCAAATTATAAAACGGAAGAAACCCAATTTTATGCATTAATATACAGTTAATACCAGGTCTCAATTAAATAATTAAATAATTAATTAAATAATTTCTGACTTCACCCAAACACTGTCAATATAAGTTTTTTATGAAGCAACAATAGTTGCTATTTATTGTTGTAGCTCATATTTTGCCTGTGAGGTTAATTTAACTGCAAAATATTTTTTCATATCTGTAACAGTTTAAGATATGCAGTACTACAAATTAGGAATTACATAATTAAAATGTTTTTCACAGATTGGAAATAGAATTCGATCAACAGTTCAAGATCTTGGCAAATCTTGTGTGGAATTAGTGCAAGATGCTGGAAATCTCCAAGGCAATCCAACTGACCAATACTCAATAAAAGAGCTCAGTGATCATGCTAGGAGTGTTCAAGAAAAAGTGTGTTCAAGTTTTGTATGAGTTTATTATGAATTTAGGAATCACCTTTTCCTAGATGAATCAGGCTAAAAGCATTATCAAAAAAAATTATTTTATAAATTCCTATGAATAATTCAGTATCATGTATATTTTATACACGAAATCTTGTGCACCAACAAAAGTATTTAATAATTATGAGAGATTCTCCTTTTTTGGTTACAAAATGCTTTAATTTTTAGTCATTGGGCTGGTAAAGCTCCTGGTTGCTGAACCGATAAGTCCCCAATAGCTGGAGAGAGAAAACCCCAAAATCAAACAACTGCTGCCTTGTAGTTTGTTCTTGTAGGAACAAAGGGTATGTAGGAAAATTCAGAAAGAAAAGCAGGCCGAAACTTGTGTCAGCGGCCTATATGGTGCATAACATGTTGACATGTAATACTTAATTGTGTTGGAGGAAATATATTTTTATTTCTTATTTAATATCTTAAGCTTGTTAATGGGCAAGTATTTTATGCTGATACCATTAGACACAAGCTATTTGGGTTATTGTGAATCAAATGGGTTAGATCTCAACTATTTCTCATTGACAACTTTGATACCGCACTTCTTCCTTATTCCAATCACTACCTCAGACTGATGTCTCTTCCCTTGTACACTCGTTCACTCAGTACAACAACATACACACCAGCAAACCCAGCTAGACTTGACACTGTCTAACAATACAACAGGGTACACACACATAGTTTACTTCATTCCACAAACACCTTTCTTAATTTTCAGTTTGACATCACCACAGACACATTGTATCGTAATATATTTTTTGTCCAGGTTTCCTATGTTCTGGCAGCCTTACAAGCAGGTGCCAGGGGTACTCAGGCATGTATTAATGCAGCCAGCACTGTAAGTGGTATTATTGGAGATCTGGACACAACTATTATGTTTGCTTCAGCTGGAACTCTGAATGATGAAGGTTCTGAGTCTTTTGCTGATCAAAGGTAATTTCTTTTCCTTTTTAGTTAGGAAATTCAATTTTTCCCATTTTAGAATTATTTTGAATGGTTTGGGGGTTGTATCTTCCATGTAAGTCTATATATAAATAAATAAATATGTATATGTGTATATATGTAAATGTGAATATGTATGTATATAATATAAGCGAATGGTAGTGTGTCAGTCTGTTCTTCTGTCCTTCCATCATCGCGATAGATTTTGGAACCATAAAAGTTAACACCACATGCCGTGAATTTACTTGCATCACATTGTATTATTATAATTATTGAAGTAGGTTCTATTTATGTAACGACTTCAATTTTTTATACTCTGCAGTTTTACTCTTTTGCATACACCAACATTGCTAAAACAAATGAAATGGATCAATGTCAAATAATATTTTCGCTTAAATTCCTAGAAAAAAATTGATACAAATGTAATAACAGTAGGGTAAAAAAAACTAATTAAAATGTTTAATAGTTATGTAAGGGGAAATAATTTAAAAAGTAGTTCAACTAAATATTATAAACGAGCCGGCCCGCGGCGTATCATACGCCGCTATTTAGTTGTTTTATTTTCTACTTTTCAGTAATTCATAATTTGTGAATTCGACAGTACCAATGCTGACACTGAAAATATTTCTTTAAAACACTATAAGTAGCTCGTTAAGGACCATAACCCCCCCTTCCTTCTTTCCCCCCCCCCCCCCCCCCCCTTACGTTTAAAATCGTTGGCTCTGCTTGTAAACATTTAGAGTGAACACAGCTCACTAAGATCATGTAGGGGTGGGGAGGTAGGAATCGCGTTTACAGCTTGTTTTTTAGCGGCTCCCAGAAGAGAATAATATATATAGATTAGCATTTGTGCTTGTGTTTTTTTTGTGTTTGAGTTTGTGTTGTGTTTGGGTGTGTGTTAAGGTTTGAGTTTGTATCTTTGTGTTTGTGTTTATTTTTATGTTTGCATTTGTTGTCTTTTGTGTTTATGTATGCGTTGTGTGTGTTTTTGTGTTTGTGCTTTTGTGTTTGTGTTTGGCTTTGTTCTGTTCCCAAAAAGATTCACCGTGGCGGAGCACATGTATGCAGCTGGTATATATATATATATATATATATATATATATATATATATATATATATATATATATATATATATTCAGCATATTTTAAAGCTTACTATTATAAAGGTTTTTATACTTTTTTTGTGTGAACTTTGAAAGTGCATTGAAAGATTGACACTATTTATGCTACAGGGATTCAAATCCCTTCACGGCTTTAATATAGTACAGTTTTTATTTATCTATCCAGAAATATTTTATTTGTGGAATTGCCTAATTCCTTACTTTTACAACTTCTTCTAATTACTGAGTCAGAAAGTATAATTACAATATCTTATTTTTTTTAGATGAAGAGATCAGTAAAACTTTTTAATGATTGTTTTCAAATAATTATATCAATGTTGTTTAGCTAATTGAATTAAATTACAGGCAAAAATGATTGGCTTTTGGTATTTACTTCGTTACTTTTAAACAACTAGTTTGTTTTGAATTTAATATAACCACAAACACTTGATATTTTAGGGAAAATATTTTAAAAACAGCAAAAGCACTTGTTGAAGATACAAAAACTCTGGTTGCTGGAGCAGCTTCTAACCAGGAACAACTTGCAGCAGCTGCACAGTGTGCTGTTAAGACCATCACAAGATTGGCTGATGTTGTCAAGCTAGGAGCTGCGTCTCTTGGCTCTGAACAACCAGAAGCCCAGGTTAGCCACTTAGCTTTTTATTTAGAACATATATATTGTCCTTTAAATTTACTAGTAATTCTCAGGGATGTGACTTTTCCAATGATTGAAAATATCCTTGATCCTATCCCACTTTCAAAAGGGTACAAGTGCAAGTAATAAAAAATGCTTTTCCTTGCTTTTGGGGTCTTATATTTTAATCTGAATATTATTCTTCAATCAGGTTTTACTTATTAATGCTGTTAAAGATGTAGCATCAGCTCTATCAGACCTTATCAGTGCTACAAAAAATGCATCTGGAAAGTCTGTTAATGATCCAGCAATGCTTGCTCTCAAGGAATCAGCAAAGGTAATAATTTAATATATATTTTAATGATTTATCTATGTGGAACAGTATATAGATAGGGGCTCTAAAAGAATTCTCATTTTATGATTAATTTTTTATTTACAGTTTCTCGTTTTTTAAAATAAGCATAAGTAGACAAAAATATTTATCATGATCTTAAAAAAAAAAAAATTTTAAATAATAAAGTTGATGAATTTTAAAAATGTAGCAATCTAGAGTTGAAAAATTAATATATTGTATATGGTTCATAATTGCTTATGCAAAGTGTTACAGTTGTTGTCAACAACGTTGTTGCCAAAATACATCTTGAGTAAATACATATTATTAAACTGAAAAGTTTAATAATATGCATGTGAACTCATCTCGAGAATAAATAAATCAAATATGCTAATTCCAGGGGGAAAAATACACACAAATAACTACCTTTTGGAATGGGACTTGACCTATTCTAGTAGGCAATGTTACACACTTAATCAATTACTTAATTATGATTGCAGTTCATTTTCATTGATTTCTTAAATGATATATTCCTGTATAATGGCAGTCAATATGATCAGTGCATGCTTACTACTTTTACAGTGGCAGAATGATTTTTATGTTTCCTGCTTTAATACTGCTATATTAGATTTTTTTACAATTGCTTCACCATCCTTAATGTTTGACCTGCTTAGGTCAAACATTAGTATTTTCAAAATTGTATCAGCGATTGGACCAATTAAGATTTGACAATTTACAATATGACATATCAATCGATTTAAAAAGTTAAAGCTATGATATTAAATGCACATGTTGATACATTTTGTTACAAAACCTATTGGACAAAAAGAAATATAAGTTTTTAATTCTCATAATATTATTGTGCAAAAAAATTCACATTTATCTTACAGATTAGTTATACGTGTACTACTACAGTATAATTGCTAAATAATTCTCTAAAAGTTTAGTGAGGCATCATTATAAAATTAAAAGTTGTAAAAATGTTCTTCTCTTTTTAGAATAATATATCCATTTTTAATTAAGATAGGTTTTTCCATTTGACAGATAACAAAACTTTTTTGTTTAGAAAAATAAAGCATTTCTGCAATGCAAGTTTTTAGAGATACATACTTTATTAAAACGCATGTTACTCTAACCCCACTAAAACATGCCCGCTGCCTCCTCATTGTTGTTGATCTCTTTAGAAAAATTTAAGATTTTTATCTTGTGCACATCAAAGAAATGCTAAACTTATTTAAAGTAATTAGTGATTGTGGACAGGTTAACATTTCTCTTTAGGGTAAGTAACATGTGCATTTAATAATCGTTTTTTGGTAAAATGTGTGTTAAAGATATTCCAGGTATAATTGGTTTTTGTTCACTTACTCAAAATTTTAAAAAATTATCAAAAGAATGTTATTGTTGTCCACAGTTTCTTTGATGTGTCACAATTAGACCCTGAAGCACAAGCACAATGGCTTGCCTATATTTTGTACCATTATTGATAGTTGTTTGTTTTATCTGTATCATGTGTCCTTTGTTTGAAATCAACTGTTTATCCTAAGTCCTAAGCATTAAGGTTGTGTTTTCTTTAGGTTAGCTTCAAAATACCCACAGTATTATTGCCAAGTTAAAGGACAATACTACAGTGGTGGTGTTATGTATTTTAAGCTATGCTGTATGCAAACTAGAGGGTGTTAAACAGTTTTACTAGGCTGTTCTAGCTGATTGATTTCAACAATGTGCTGCTTAATTAACACCAGCACAAGGCTTGATATATATTTTATAAGTGGTTTTTTTTGAGTGGATAAACTTTCAAGTTCAAGGCCACTACTCTTGTGAGTATATTGCCTAGAAGGCTTATTTTTTATGACTTAAACAACCTGCTTGCATGTTTTAACTAATGATTACAAGTCATCATTGCATTTTAGGCCAGTTAGAGTGTGTTGCCCTTTAATGTCTACACAAACTAAACTAATAATGAATGCTATTTGTGTTTGTTTACACTAGAGACAATACTAACTAAAACAAACAATAAACTTATCAAAATCAGGCACAATTTTTAAGATGATTAAAAGCTATGAGGTTAAGATTTTTAGTAGCAACAATTCAAAATTGCAGTTATTGATACTTTAATCCACTGTTTTGAAGGTACTTAATGCATGAACTTTTTTATGGCAATATTTCAGACAAGACGTCAGCTAAATCCTACAGAAGTGCGGTATTTATGTGCTATACCAGCATGCACCTAACCTGGTTGGATCAGTGACCACTAATGAAAAAACTAGTTACATTTTCTACTTTTTTTTCAATTAGTGGCATGTTTTTATCTATTAATAACATAAAACATATGACACATGTCAGTGTAATTAGTTATTACTTTATACTAATGCTGTCTGTTATTGTGCAATTATTCTTATATCATTATACAATGTAATAGAAATGTAAATTATATCCAGATTTCAATATTTAATTTAAATAATTTGTAAAATATTTTTAAAAATTGTGTTGTCTTTGGTTTTTCTAATAATATTTTTCATTTATGAATAATTCTACATAATAAACATCGCTATTACAAAAGAAAAGGAAAGATCAAGTCAATCAGGGCTGGGAAGTTGGCAGTTAATCAGTCTATTTCAAACTATTTTTTTTGCTAAATCATTTGCTAAAAAGATGTAAAACAATTATAAAGTTTAATGGCAGATTTTTTAATAGAAATTTAGAAAACAGTTTTATTTCAATTTTTAAATGCTGTCAGATTATTTATAGTATAAATAGTATACGTACTTTTTAAGATTGGTATATGATAAAAGAAATATCTTTTTTTAATAACGATGCCATCTGGTCGAAAAACATATTTTATGATCACATAGAAATTACATAATACACATGTTGCCAACCTCACAGCCTAGTTTCTACATTTGTACTTAAGTTTATTGGGTTTTTTTTAAACTATCTACTTTCTACACATTTTTATTGTAAAATAATTGAACTGTACTGATTTGAAGCTTTATGATTGTTTTTCAAAATAACATATTATTGTGTGAAAGTATCTAATGAAATAGTTATTCTATTATTTATTTTTATAATAACCATAAGAAAAAAAATTATATAGCACTATTTAATATACCTTTTAATTAGTGTGTATTTTATAAAATATTCTTTGGTTATTTATGTGAAATAACTTGTTGAAAAAAGCTTTTTAGTTTGCCATTTATAGTAATCTATAGATTTATCCTTTTCAAATGTTAAAATCATGTACTTAGTTATGTAATCTAAAATACACAGTTACAGTTATCATCCATTATTATGTCTAAGTTAATTTTGTGATTGTACTTGTGATAGATAGCAGTTATTGTTTGTAACAAATAAACACATTTTATGATAAAAAAAATTTGTTTATTTACTTGTTGGCAGTTTTAAGCATTAGATGTAGGGCGTTAAAATTTATTGCATTGGTTGGATTATGGTACTATGTTCTGAAATACATGATTTTAAATACAGGAGTTGAGTTTAGTAAGTACATTGTATCTCTGTGCTGTTCATTTCTGTTGTAATTTGTATGTAGCTTATTTCAATAAGATGGGAAAAAACCATTGTGCTTCTGCTTCTACCCTGGTCTTTAAAAAAGCAAATATAATTGATATATAAAAAATTGCTTTCAATTATTTTTGTACTTTTGAAAACAGTAATTTTAACACAAATTTAAAAGATTTAAATAAATATTCTTTCTATCACAAATCCAGGTAATGGTAACAAATGTCACATCTTTACTAAAGACTGTGAAAACAGTAGAAGATGAAGCTGTTCGAGGAACCCGAGCTTTGGAATCAACAATTGAAGCAATTGGACAAGAAATCAAAGTAATGTTTAATAAAGTGTTTCTGTATTAAACTTATCAAACTATATCAGAGAAAATAACGGACATAGAAAAAGTGTAACTAAAATTTATATTTATCTTTTAGGCATTTGACAGCTCTGATGATGTCATCAGGAAAGCTAGTGCCGAAGACTTAATAAGATATGCTAAGCCAATCACCACAGCTACAGCAAAAGCTGTGGCAGCAGGCAACTCCGGAAGACAGGAAGATGTAATCAGTACAGCTAATATGGGTCGAAAAGCTATCTTTGACTTACTCAGTGTTGTAAAGGTTTGTTTATTATATGATTTTTTCTTAATGAGGTAAGCATGTAATTTGCCTTGTGCAGAAATATTAACTTTTTGTAAAGGCTTTTTGAAATGGGATAGAGTAATATCACTTAGCAGGCTGTTTTCTTATTCTAGGGTGCTGCAGCCACTGCTGAGACATCTGAGATTAAGAAAAGGGCCATCAATGCTGGACGCACTGCTGCTGTGACCTACAAAGAGCTACTTGAGAATGTACATCTAGTAAGTTTTTTAATCATCAAAAACTTATTAGCTAATCGCACAAAAAATGTAAATGTATGTCAGTTTTGAAGTACTCAAAATTATATTGTTTTTACAAGCTTTTATTTGTTTCCTCTGTCTTTCGTGCTTTGTCTGTTGTAAATCGAAACTACAGAGCGAAATTTTGAGCACTTCTAAATGAGCTGTTAGTTTCAAACTGGGCATGTGGGTCAAGACCCAATGACAATACAGCCTGAGATTTAATTGGATTTAATTGTATTAAAAATGTTGCCGTACTGAAAAAAAATGGATAAAAAAATGTTTTAATAACAATCTTTTATGTAAAAATGCACTAAAAAGGAGGAAATAAATTATTTTCTTTAAATGTATAATAATACACTACTATTTAAATAACTATAAAGAAAAGCGTTGGTCTCTTCCTAAATATTAGTAGGGTATCCAATAGCGTTCCATGCTTTTCTTTATAGTTATTTAAATAGAAGTGTATTACTTCTTTATAGTGCATTACTAAACTACCCGTTATCCTTGGATAACTGGGTTTTGAGGGTCATCCATAAATGACGTCACTTTTGTTTGACACTTTTTATCTTTCCCCTCCTCACTGTCACACATGGTCACATAAAGTAAGACCATCATTTGTTTTAGTCTTTTAAAAACACCACTTTCGGCTGAGCATGGGTCTGACCACACTATCCCTTCATAAGGTAAGGTCACGAAACAGGTGAACTCTACTTCACCTGCCCTGTGTCCCATAAAACAATTTTATCATTCACACTTCAGCTTACTTGTTTTTGTCTTTTTAAAACATTGATTTATTTCTATATTTTCTGAGGTCAAACCTCATTTGAATAATAAATGAATAAATTATTAAAGCTAACAACAAACTAATAATAATGAATTAGAACCAATCACGTGTAGGGGATTTCACACTGCACTTTCTATGAGGGAAAATTAAAACATAAAAATTTAACATTCACATGATGTGTTTCGAATCCACCCCGCATGTTGACTATTACACTATCATTAAAATTAGGTATATATTATTTTTAATTTTATTTATAACTAGCCTGTGTAACGAAATATATAAGAAGCATTTCATCAATGTGTTACCAATCCAGTATTCTTAGACGAGTGACCTTTTTTTCTTAAACTGAGTTTAAATTTAAATGAAAACAATGCCTGCGCTTGGATCATATTTATAGAGGCATGGGTTTACCTGCCGCATGAAAGCCCTGAGTGTACGTTAATCACTTACCATAATAGTGAGGTAGAACACAATTCGGTGACACTCCCAGGTGTCAGGGACGTAGAGGTGTGCTCTTGAGAGCTCCAGGTCCCTGGCTGTTTAAAACTAACGTAAGCACCCTGTTGCTTACAGGATAACCCAGAGCGCCCAATAGCATCTAAAACAATGATGCAGATTGCGTCATTCGCTAAAGTGTCAAAAACCAACAGAATTTTTCGAAGACATAGACAATTTTTTTTTTTTTTACGCGTTATAAACATCAGTGTGAATTCTGCAATTTGTTAGCATTGCTAATGGTGTATTATTAGATGCTCGATCTCAATTTCTGATTGAATCATCTAAAAATAGATGCTAATAGCATCATTCACAAAATGATGAAACTGTACAGAAGGATTTCCTCGCGTTACAAAGTGTTTTTTAGAAGTGCAACTTATATTTTAGATTTGAGTTGCCCTCCGAAACTTAATTTTTTACAAAAATATTTTCATTATTTCGAGAACTTTAGGCTTTGGAATTGTTTGGATTTTTTATGGACAAAAGGAAACAAACCAGTTAATAATCTAACCTTAGTTAATTTATCCGATTATTCAAAAAAAATTATTACAGGGCCTTCAACGGCCCATGTTAGCCTTTGGGGGCCAAAACTGAAATTTTTGTTCTCAGCCGAATTGCACCCTACTAGGGCGCTGGCTGACACGCCTGATTCAATTTATTGAGCGACTGCCCAAGCTTATCCATTGTCTATCACACTGTTTAGAACAAACTTAGGTGCATTGCGCTCATGGGAAAACCCAGGGCGCTAAATCGAACCCTGCAGGGGCACCAGAGGACGCGCCTGGTTCAATATAATCAACGATTATTGTTGCCCATCTTGTCTTTAGTGTATAGCCTTATTTTAAACAAACGTAGGCGCCATAGTGCTCGCAGGTGAGTCCGGGGTGCTTCAGGTCGTGCAATCTACGAGGCATTGCACCTGTTGCATTTTTACCGCCGAATATAGTAGTACGGCTATGCTAAATATAGTAGTGCCCCTTACCCGCTATGCAGCATGCACGATTAACGGATGCCAAGTGCTAACATAGCCGCTCTGGAACTCTGGGCGCCAATTGACGAAAATCGCACCCTTGTGGCCAGCGCCTATATCAAATTTTAATTATTTTGTCCACAGAAACCTTTTCGGGAGTATTTTCATCTATTCTCCAAAGTTTCATGGCACTTGGATGAACGGTGTCGAACCGCATCCGACTTTTATTTTTTATATACCGTATAGAGAGAAAAATCGTTTAATAAAAATAGTTTGATAAAGAAATTCAATTATTTATTTTTGTTTTTATACTTGCTTTTCTTTAACTAATTAATTTTGGTTAACTGTTTTCACTTAAATTTGATTTTTAAAATAAAGAAACCATTCAAAAAAAATATGGTAACTTCATTTTACAGGTTGTGATGAAGCCCACACCAGAAGGCAAACAAACAATTTCTGTTATTTCACGGAAAGTAGCAAATGCTGTCACTGAGCTGGTTCAATCAGCAGAGGCTATCAAAGGTAATTAGAAACTTTAAGTTAGATTATGTATTTCAATTAAGTGTAAGTAATAGCATGAGCCACTCATAGAAATATTTATTTAGAATGTTTATTATTTCAATATTTGCTGCAGTATATTGAAAACTACCAGAGTATTTCAGTCTATAATAAGAAACTTTACTTATAAACTGAGACTGAAAAATTCACTAGTATTGCCTCACATAGCTTTGATATAACACTTTTGCTTTTTATACTTACACAGATTACTATGTATTAACTTTTTATGTGAGCAGCTAAATTATCTTTACAGAAGCAGCATTTTCAGATAAGAATTTTCAGTGTCTTAATCAATAGAAAAGATTTTAAAATGGTTTTTTGTTCTGCCTTAATTTTATCTTTTTATGTTGGTTTCAATGAGCAATTTAATACTCAAATAAAACAGACCTAAACCGGACAGTCAAATAGGATTTAAAAGGTGTATTCGTTAAATTATTTCTATAGTTTGGGTTTTGTGTTTCAGCTCAAATCAACGTTTGTTCATTTTTTGTTAGAAAAGCAACAAGTCGTAAGTTTGCAGAATCTAACAACATCCAGCTTGTGTATTCATTATTTTAAACATTTTCTATTGTTTATGAAAAATGCAAATATTTTTCACCAACCTTTTTGTTTTGGGCAATTTTAGCAGAAAGTCTTGTGTTCCCAGAAGTAAAACAATTGTTAACAAGAAATTCTATTTATACAGGTTGTTTGTCGGTTGGCTTTTTATACTACATTTTCAATATATGATTGTGTAGTTCTTGAGAAATGATAGTATAATTTAGCTTTAGGGAGCATTCTAATATTTCAATTGAATTGGTAGTGGTTATCTGCATCATGGACTCTGCCTACCGTGCAATATAGGATTTAACCAAGAGTTATATTAGTTGACCTGTTTTGCCAAAGGTCATTTAGAACTAACTGCTGATTCTGTTTTTCAATGAAACATCTCTTGCTTGCTCTGCTAATCAGACTTTTAGTCTTCCTGGATTTTGATCTCAAGTAGTGCAAAGCAGAACATCAGCTCTCATATTAAATCAACTATTTACATCACCCACTGATAAGTTCAATAATTTATATACATACTTAACTGCTTAAATTAACTCTTTCACTTCAGAATAGTATATAAAAAGTTTAAAATTATGAGAAGCATAAGACTTGCAGCACTTTTCATTGTTTCAAAATTTCTTTATTTTCATTTAATTTTTATAACAATCTTTTTAAATCTATGCAAATCTTTATTATTTGTTATTCTTTCCGTTTGATTTCATGGAAGATTGCCAACCACGGGTATTTAAGAGAGGTGTGTGTATTTCCACTATTTGTAACAACTTTTTGATTTGTTGTCTCTTTTAAATGTTGTTACTAAAATATTGTTGTATTTCTTTGCTTCTAAGCCCAGTGTTTTATCAACCAGTTTTGAAAATTGGACCCAATTTTATACAAATATTAGAAATGTGATATAGTCACTGGATACATTGTTCACTCTCATCTTTTTTGTGATATTAGAAATATAATTTAATATTATAGACTAAAAGCATCCTAAGAGGTGTGACTCTCTGGGTAGTTGCAGAATAGTGCTAGGTGAGGGACAAGTAGTTCAACAAATATTCTCTCTATAGAAATAGAATATAAATATAATTAAAAGTAAATTGTTATAATATCGTTTTATTTCAGGGTACTCAAAATTAAGTTTAAATGTATTTGATGTTCCAATTTTTATTCAGATTTTTACTCTTTTAAAAAATTTTCAACCTATAAGTGTTGATATTTATAAGTTTACATATTTGGATAAAAATATACATATATATTGTTTGGGCGGGCGGGGAGATGACCCTGTTAAAAGGAGGCCCAATAAGTGCCGCTGTTTGTGTCAAACATTTGAATAAATCATATAAAGATAATAGTAAAATATTGAAGCAAAATAAATCAGTAATATAAACCTAATTTAAATATCCTTAATTGAATATACAATTTTTTAAATTAAAATCTAATGTTACATCAATGTTTCTAATGATTTCAGTAATTAGCAATCAAAATGACACAACACCCTATTTAGATGTAAATCTACTCAATGTTTAGCCATTCAGAAATACTTTGAACTTCTTTCTTTTTATTCGTTCTTAATTATAATTTTGGAATGGATTTCCTCCAACCCAATTAAGTATCACCTGTCAACATGTTAAGCACCTTATAGGTCATTGACTGATTTCAGCCTGCTTTTTCTTTCTGGATTTTCTTTCATAGCCTTTGTCCACCCAAGAACAAACTACAAGACTGTAGTTGTTTGATTTTGGAGTTTTCTCTCCAAAATGGGTTGCTGTCCCCAGTTATCAAGCCTCATCTGCCCATGGGTTTGATCTCTGGACTTTTGGATTTAACAACCATGAGCTGTACCGCCCCGATCACGCCAACTTTGAACAATTAACTTGCTTTTGTTGCTCTACATTGCAATTGTCTGTTTAATTTCAACAGTAAAAAATATATTACAGCTTCTGTACTCTAAACTATTATCATGTATTTCTTAGATTTTATTTACATAAAACACATTTTTTTAAATGAACATTATTCCTTGCCTCTAAAGGATTCACTATTTCATATTTAGGAGTTACCACTGTCTGACCTAGATAAACATTCATATTATCACTATCAACATTTACAATTTCCATCTTGTGAAGAAAAAAGACTTCCTCGTGAAAAGGAGTTTTTCACAATTATTTTTGCTTGGGCCTTTTTTTACTTATTATTTTGCTAACGTTTAGTAGTACAAATGCACTTTTTATTTAAATTAACTGTATTTTCTTATTTTGTTGTTCTACATAGTGGGTGGTGAGTACATAAGTCAGAAATTTTAAGTTGTGCAAAATTTCAAGTTTTCACTTAAAAATAATTCTTTTGCTTGCCATATTAATTCCCCTGATTTCTTTTTGCCTCTACTTCTTTTGGCAAATGTCCCAGTTTTAATGTGGTTATAATGTTTTAAACTATTGTTTTCCTCATAACTTTTTGTTTTAAAACTTCTGGCACTGGTCCCAAGCTAATCTGTTAAGTTTGCTTTACATTTTTAATTTTAAAAAAAGCATTTTTCTTCTTTGATATATTAGTTAGTTAAATACTGATATTAGTGAATTAATAAATACTCTACATATTGTGATGATTCAATAATATTAACTGAAGTTGCATTGGATGGGTTAGCTATTTGCAGAATAAACTGTTTGTCTTACCAGAGAAGCAAGAAAAAGATTCAATCACATTTTTTTACCATTTCCTTTATAATGGTAGAATGGTTGTTATAGCCAGGGTGATTTTTATAATCAATTTACATTAACAGTGGTATTGTATTTGTTGTTTACAAGAAAAAAATATAAGACATTTCTTAAGTTAAAACTTTGTGATTATGTTAAAACCCCTATTTTAAAAAACTGCTTATTGATGTGTGTGATTGACCCTTGACCCTCAGACACATTAGAAATCAGATGGTCCCATTGGGTTGCAGGTAACTTATTGTAATGTTTTATATAGTAATTTTAGAAAGAGGTTCTCAAAATCATTATATTTTATTCATATAGAATGCATTTTTTTTCACATTACTTCTAAATACTTGTTATTTTAAATTAACTAATGATTAGATTATAATTAGTTCAAATGCTAATTTTTGAGAACCTTTTATTTTTTATCCCTTTAGATGTTAACCAAGTAGCTGTCCATTCCTTTGTGCAATATTATTTAAAACCATCAATTCAATGTTGTGTTGTAAACCTCCATAATTTTTTTCTTAATAGAATATTTCATTTAACATAAAAAAGATTTGATATATTACACTTCTTTATGCAAATGCTGTCATAATTGTTAAGAAAAGTTATCAATATTCACACAGATTCTGGATGTTTATTGTTAAAAAAAAGTACAAAATTGTTGTTTTGTTAATAATAGTAGTTAGTGGTTCATGTAATTTACAATCTATAAAGTTTTTAAATTTTGACTAAATTGAATGATGCATGTTTAAGACAATCTAAATTCGAATGAACTGAATATTCTGCCCCTGTGTTAGTGGCCTCACAATCACATTGTACTGGATTATTTGCTCTTTATTTAATTAAGGAAATAAAAATTTTATCTTGTCCTGGCAGTCAGCAGACTGATGGACTGAATAATGACAGTATAATGTTCCTTTCAATTATGTTATGAATTTCATATCTCTGAGGTATCAGTTCTACTATGGCATGTATGCATGCATAGATTAGAGGTTTGCATGCTTTGTTCACCATTATCCTCATTTGTTGAATACATTGAAACCAGTAATAGGCTATTAGAAATCTCATGCTCAGTATGAATGGTCCAATGAAATATTTAGTCCATCAAAAAACAACATTAGATTGATCAGTTTTCCATTTCTCAATACAATATAGTAAATTAAAAATTAAAGCGGCCCTGATATTTTTTCTTGTGCTATATTTTGCTTTTAAAATTTCTAATTTTCTAAATGTATTTAAATTTTATTGTATAATACAATACTGCTAAAACTGGCTAAAAGAAAAGTGTTTGTTTAAGGAAAAGGGTGATTTAAAGATTATCAGAACTTAACTATTATTGTAATTTTTTTTAATGTAAAAATTTGTGGTAAATATGACCCTTTTTTTTTTTTTTAAGTTTTTTTATGTAACAAAATATACAACAATACTAAGTAATGTTTACGTAATTTACAATTTATCTTCAGCATAATAAACTATTTTTTAAGTCAAGATTTTGTAGAATATTGTAATAATTTTAATACTTTTTTTAGGATCTGACTGGGTGGATCCTGATGATCCAACTGTTATTGCTGAAAATGAATTGCTGACTGCTGCAAGCTCTATTGAAGCTGCAGCAAAGAAACTTGCCCAATTAAAGCCCAGGCAGCAAGCTAAGGTAAAATCTATTTCAACTTGATGATTAAATTTCTTTTTTAAGAGTTTGCACTATTGTAGTAGAATGCTTGAATTTAAATTTTAGTTTAAACCTTCCATCTGTATAAACAGCTTTCTTTATGTGTTTACTGCTAAGTGTTAAAAACTTCTGTGTTGTGTGCTTTTCTATTGTGTTTTTTTTTACAACTCAATAATCTGCAAACATTTTTTCTACATATTTATTTCTAAAGGCTATTTTTATAATAACTTAATAACAATTATTGCATTGGTTTTTCTTTGCTAGTTCTTATATATATATATATATATATATATATATATATATATATATATATATATATATATATATATGTGTGTGTATACATATATATGTGTGTATATATGTGTGTGTATATATGTGTGTGTATATATATGTGTGTGTATATATATATATGTGTATATATATATATATATATATATATATATATATATATATATATATGCTCCATTACCAAATGAAGTTGTTTGGTATGTGTAGTATGTAGGAGGCTGTAGTGTATATCCTAGTTGTAGATAGACCAACACCTGTAAGATATGTTTGATATATTTGGTGGTGTGTACAAATTCACCAGATATCAGACATGTCACAACAGAGGTTGGATAGTCATCAGTGTCGTCAGTCCACCACAATCCTTGCCATTACCCTTTTGTTGTAGAATGCTAATAATTTGTATGTTACCTAGATAGTTATGTCTTACTAGCCTCTATTGTTCCCTCAAGGATAACTGTTGAGCAAGTTTGTTTTATTTCCAGGTATATATTAAAAAGTCAAATCTTTATTTCTTTTATTCAAAAATCAAATGCAGCAAACAAGTATAAAGTGAAGCTTTATTTTTTTCATTTTGATTCATAATAATAATGTAATAAACACATGCAAATTTTAGCATTATGTTTAAAAATTATTTCAATTTATATGTTTATTTTACAAGATTATATTTTAGTTTTAAACAATATTTTTTTCTAGAAAGCTGATGAAGATCTTGACTTTGAAGAGCAAATTTTGGAAGCTGCCAAATCTATAGCTGCAGCAACTGCTGCATTAGTTAAATCTGCATCAGCAGCTCAAAGAGAGCTTGTGGCACAGGGTAAAGTTGGTTCAACTTATACTAGACATGCTGTTGATGAAGATGGTCAGTGGTCACAAGGCCTTATTTCTGCGGTAAGTTGCTTAGAGATGCTGTATTAGCTTAAAATAACTAGAATAAGGTCTAAATAAAGTGGTCAAGTATTGGCTTAAACTTAGCCTGTAGAATCTTCAAAAGAAAATTTATGGTACAGTATTCTATTTATGGTACCTGAACAGTTTAAAGTCCTCATAGAATTAAATGTGATACCAATCTTACTCCAGTTTAAATTATGTCTAATATCTTTCAGAAGGAATGAGTAAGTGTTAACTTTGACTGCTGTTTTTATAAAATTGTATTTCTGTGATGTATTTAGTTGTTTTTGTTTTGTGTTTAAGGGAAAATTATAACTTGAATTCATTTTTCATCAATGTGATTTACAAAAATGTACCCTTATTTTATAGCCCTTGTGAGGGTGGGGGTTTTGAAGAAGATGAAAATCCAACACAAGTTCAAGTCAAAATATAATGTTCTTTATTAAAAATTTACATAATCAACTTCCTAACTAACTAATCTACATTATACTACTACCACTTCTATCTAACTGTTCCCTAGTTCTACATATGTCAGACCGTCTCTACCTAACTCTGATCGTTCTCTTTGCTAGCTAACTATCAACTGCCTGGCCTAACTGCAGACCCACGCTTCAGTGGACAGCTGACCGTCCCATGTGACCGGTCAGCTCCTGTACTTTCATTGGTCTCTCTAACCAACTAGCTATAGCCTGTTTCTTTTAACTTCTTCTACTTGACCTAAACTAGCGTCATCACAGCCCTAGTTCCAACTTTTATACCCAATCTTAGTTTATCTGTAACATGTTTATCAATAACACATGAACATATCAATATACTTGACAATGAGCGTTGAATGTTTAATCATTCTTAGGCCAAAATGGTTGCTGCAGCAACTCATAGCCTTTGTGAGGCAGCCAATGCTATGGTGCAAGGTCACGCCAGTGAAGAAAGATTGATTGCTTCAGCTAAAGAGGTAGCTGGATCAACAGCTCAACTCTTGATGGCATGTAAGGTCAAGGCTGACCCAGGATCAATGGCAATGCAGCGGTTACAGGTATGTTTTTTATTTTGACTTTGGTGAACATATTAGTCTGTAAAATCTGATAACTTTTTAATTTATGAACAAAATTGAAATATAATTTTACTTTATTTACATTGCACAATTGTAAAATTTTACCATTTCAGAATATATTATTAAAAAAAAATATTCAATATAAAAAACACCCACCCCGAACTTTTCATTAAAATTTGAAACAAATTAGTGATAAAACTATTCAACCTTTGAAAAAGTTCTATTGGCTAAAGTTTTAAAAAAATGGTATGTTCATTATGGTGATTGTAACCAAAAATTTAATAAAGCATTAGGTTTTTGACAAAAATCTCAAAGTGGTGTTATAATATTCCAGTCTGCTGGCAATGCTGTAAAGAGAGCAACTGAAGCACTAGTGCGTGCAGCTCAACAAGCTAAAGACTACAATGATGATGAATCTAGTTTAACTGTCAATAAAAGAATGGTTGGGGGCATTGCACAGGTAAGAAATATTGACTTAATAAGAGCATTAATCTGTCATGATTGTAATCCATGGGTGTACTTTATTGCTGAAATCTGCTGCTCATTTCAGGAAATTCAAGCTCAAGAAGAGATTTTAAGAAAAGAAAAAGAACTTATTGATGCCAGAAAGAGATTGATGAAAATTCGACAAGACAGATATAAAGATCGACCTCCTGAAGATGATGATTGAAGTTAATTTTGCACAACTCTTAATTTTTTACAATCTCAGTTATGCTTATTTTAAAGTTTTTCTCTCTAAATAATTCACTTTGTTTTCATTACATTTTTTCATATTTTTTTTTTAGTGTAACATTGTGTTTATCATTAAAAATTGATACACTTTTTAAACTGTCTGTCATCACAAATAGCCAGTAGAAAATAGTCTTCAAAATCTGTGCTTTGCATGGTGACTTTTAGTTTAAAACTAATTTAAAAATTAATAGAAGTTTGTATATTTTGCTGAATTTAACCATTTTATACATCTTAATAATCTTGAACATTAAAATGATGTTTAAGATTGTACTGATATTAAGGTAATTTTGTTTCCATATTTGCAAGTATAGTCCCATATTAAGGTGCTAATTTTATGCTGTACACTTTACCTGATGTGATATCCCTTATAGCTGTCACTTTTACTTTGTTATAAAGGCATGTTTATGTATTATTTGTTTTTTAATCTGACATAAAATATCTTGTAATGTTAAAGTTAGATGTATTATTTCAATGTTAAATGCACTTGTTATAATGTAACATATCTGAAGCATGTTGCTTTTAAAATGTGCTTTTGTTTACAATACTGTAATAGTTGGTACTTTGCTAACATTAAAGTAATTTTAAGTTTTTTTTTTTTTTTTTTGACAACATTTTTTAAGGTTTTAATCAATTTTACTGACCTACAATTTCACTTATTATTGAACAGAATAATCTGTAGTCAGTAGTATAGTTTTTTTTAACAAAACTATTTATTTTTTTTTATTTTGCAGAACATGCAACTTTAAAGTTGAAGCTTTTCTAAAAAAAAAAAAAAAAACATTTAAAACTTAATGGGTCTACATCTATATATATATATATATATATTATTATATTCTCTGTTGATTCATTTTCCCATCTTTAATGAAGGTTTTATTCTCATAACAATGACATTATACTGTAGAAAGAGCATAATTTTAAAATTCTAAATGAAAGGATAATATGATCATGAGAGCTACTGGTCAGCAAAGTGGATCTTAATCAGGCTACCAGTTACTGTAAATAGGTGAAGATGCATAACGCTTTGCCAAAACGCTGCCTAATTTGATACCTATATAAATTTATATATATATATATATTTATTTATATATATATATATATATATATATATCAGCATTTTTCCGTATTTGTGCAATGTTGACAATTTAACTCCCATTGTTGCTTTACTAAAGTGATAGTTGTTACATAAACCAAGAGCACATGACTATTAATACTGTTAAGTAGTTTGATAAAGACAGGAATATCAAGACATTTGTCATTACTTTGAAAAATTGATGCTACCTCTAGAACTATGCTCTATGCTTTTGTAATGCCTTTAGTGAGTGTTTTTGTAGTCATACCTAGTTTAGCTACCACACAGTGTAGATTGTCAGTTTTTTTTTTCTAACATTTTGGATAACCAGTATTTGAACATGATGAATGATAAAAAAATGATATTAAAATACTTTAAACATGTAACATTGCTAAAAAGGTGTAGGCTGGATATGAAACAAACACCATTTTAAATGCCACCGACAGAGATCATTTTGCTTCCTACCCCCTGATCCACAATTTTGAACACATTTTTATACCTCTAGCTAAAGATGTACCTACAAATGACTTGCTTCAGAACTAAAACTATTTATTAACTTTAATATTTACTGTATTATTATAATAATTTAATATACACTATATACAATTTGACTGCTCTAAGCCAGACTTAAATATAGTCCATATCTGCATTGCTGCAACTATCATTATGTAATACACTATTGAAATAAAATAACAATTACTTGTGGTAGTTTTGTTATTTATAGAACAACTCATAAATATGTATGTATATATATTTATATATGAGAAATATAAATATATTTATATGTATGTATATATCAATATAATAATATAAACTAAAATAATTATTAAATAGGGACTGTCCAATGGAACAAGTAAGTAAAACAAATGTAATTATTTTCACTGAACTGCAGCAGATGAAAAAGAAAAGGCATTGAAATAGATTAAGGCCCAACTAACACAGCACTCTATTGTTCTCTAAGAAGATTAAGCTAAAGTTGGCAATGACAGTTTACAATTCACAAGGACAAGCTTAAGACATCTGGTTAAAAAATTGTTTTTTTATAACAAGAAATATTTAAATTATAAAGATGTTACGCTGTCTTGTAAGTTGTTTACATCTTAGTGATGTCCCTTGAATGTCAAGTCTCTGTGTACTGCTGGCCAATTTGTTGAGGTCAGCGAGTTTGCTATAAATGAATATTGAGAGAGGACGTGTTGACACCATTAAGTGCCGCACCGGGTGACACCCGACCTCGCTACGCCACTGAATAGAATAGACTAGCTTCAAATCCCGTCGTAAGATAGGCGCATTTAAACATATACCCACTACGCGTTTTGTTATACTTCCAGGCATCTCTCCCGGGGGGGTCGGAAATTTTTTACCCCCCCCCCCCTGAACGAAATGAAATTTATATATTTTAACAGTGTCCGCTCCCCCCCCCCCCCCCCCGGAGAAAAAAGTCTGGTGGAAGAAACACTGCTTCCAGATGTATACCTCAGTTCAAAGGATAGATGATATAACAACATGGAATGACTAAATGAAGTAATATGTTAATTCAAAATGATTACCTTTCTTTGGTACAGTTAAAACCCGTTAATCTCTCTTACATTACATTTCATACAAATAGACGAACTTAGCCAAATATTATATTAGCTGCACTACGCCTATTAAACCATTCACTAACCATGTTCACCTCAACCTTATACCATCCATTCCCCCACCCCAACCCCCTCACATGGTTTGGTGAGCTGTGGTTCACGCTTAATTTTTACAATCATCGAGCCGGGTTTGGTGACGGCTGTTAGGGGCAGATAATTTAGTTTGAAACGATTTTAAACTTAAGAGGAGGTAACTAAGAGGAGGCTGCTTTCACGTGGGGGGGAGGGGGGGTTTAGTGTTTTAAAGCAAATATTTTTAGTGGCAGCATTGATACTGTCGAATTCACACATTATGAATACTGAAAAGTAGAAAAAACAACTAAATAGCGGCGTATGATACATTGCGGGTCGGCTCGTATATATATAATTCTCTTCTGGGAGACGCTAGAAAACAAGCTGTAAGCGCGCTCCCTACCACCCCCACCCCTACATGGTCTGGTGAGCTGTAATTCACGATAAATGTTTATAAACAGAGCCGGGTTTAGTGACGACTATTAGGGGCAGATAATTTAGTTTGAAACGATTTTAAACGTAGGAGGGGGGGGGGACTAAGTGGAGTTTACTTTAACGGGGGGAAGAGGGGGGGTTATCGTCCTTAATGAGCTACTTATAGTGTTTTAAAGAAATATTTTCAGTGGCAGCGTTGGTACTGTCGAATTCACAAATTATGAATTACTGAAAAGTAGAAAAAAAACAACCACTAAATAGCGGCGTATGATATGCCGCGGGTCGGCTCGTAAGATCTAATAGTTATATGTGACTTGTAACTAAATAGGTATTCAAGCTATCGATGATTTTAGAAACCGGATGTAGAGTAATGTACCACTTCCTTTTATGTGAATTCGCTCAAAAGTTGAAAGAACTCTACGTAATATTTATATACGAGAAAAATGGCCCGTTGAGGAAGGATACACCGGGCGCTAGGTTGATAGTGCTGTCTATTTTCTCTAAACTAAAACCACCCCCCACACACCCCCACCCACCCCCCACACACCACCCCCCAACACACACACACCCCCCCCCCAAAAAAAAAAACATGTCTACCGTCCCATTCAAGGAAATATAATTATATACTTTTTCCAGTGTCCGCCCCCTCCCCGAAAATTCTACCCCCGCCACCGAAAATTTCAAGTACCCCACCCCTCTCCGGGGAGGAAAAAGTCTAAATTAAAACCACCCCCCCCCACTCACCCCCCCCCCCCACTCGACACGGGTTCAAATCTATGTGTTCTAGTCAGTAACCAGCCCTCGTCCTAAAGGGCAGTATTTACAACAATGAGTGGCTCAGACGTTCTTACGCGGGGGGGGGGGGGGGGGGGGGGGTGGGGCTTCGCCCCTACCCGAAGAATTGTATGCAAGAAACTCTTCACGCAAACCACTTAGATTAGACAAAATTTCCTTGTTATTCAATGTTTACTCGATAATCAATGACGTCATATTACTGTGTGCACTATCCGGCTTGAGATTATTTTTCTTTAACTTGCTTTCTCTGTTTGTTTGTTTGTTTTTCCAATCAAATCTTGCGATCGAAATTTCTGGCACTTCCCAGTTAGCTAGCGCGCTGAAATTTTCAGGGAAGCTTTCTTTTGGATGACCATAGAATATTCAATTGTTATTATTACTAAATTGATCAATGGAAACATTTTATTGAGCATTTTAGACCGCTATATAATCTATATATATAATTCTCCTCTGCGAGCCATTAGAAAAAAAACGAGCGACGCGTAGCTCGCCTCTCTCTTGCCGCGCGCAGTGAAGCGAACGATCCCACGTCGCGACAGGCTTAGGGGCAGATAATTTAGTTTGAACCGACTTTAAACTTACAGGAGGTAACTATTACCACTGGTGGCCAGTTTGGGGGAGACGATATGGTCGAGTGGTTGGGCACACGATTGCTATCCCACTCGACACGGGTTCAATTCTATGTGTTCTAGTCAGTAACCAGCCCTCGTCCTAACCGCTATCAACTAACCTCTGACAATCATTCACTTGCGATTGAGACCGAAGAAGAAAGGGTCTCTCGTTTTTTACGAGTTGTCTTTTTACGAGTTGTCTTCGTTTACCCAAAAAAAAGTGAAAAGATAAAATCGATAGCAAGATTTCAATGCAAACAAACAGACAAAGACTAAAAAGTAGAAAATAATAATCATTAAAAAAGTTAAAAAAAAACCCACGTTTTCTGATTGAACTTAAAAGTAGAAAATAAATACTATACATCACAATAATGCAAGCGATCACTCTACTATAAGCGATGAAAAACGTGGGGCGCCGTGATTTTCTTACAGTTTCTAATACTGTTGACTCTCTACAAGCTCCCTAATAAAAGTCAATAGTATTATCTAATCAATAGTAATATAACTTTTACTTCGGCGCCCCACGTTTTTCATCGCTTATAGTAGAGTGATCGCTTGCATTATTGTGATGTATAGTATTTATTTTCTACTTTTTAGTTCAATCAGAAAACGTGGGTTTTTAAAACTTTTTTAATGATTATTATTCTACTCTGTGCTAAATGTGTCGACGTCATACTTCGTTTTTCGAATTACTATGCATGTTTTTATTTTCCTTGTGTTTTCTCTAAAGTGTTCTTGTCAGATAGATAGATAGATAGACAGACAGCGAAACTATTATTATAGACGAGAAAAATGGCCCGTTGAGGAAGGGTACAACGGGCGCTAGGCTGATAGTGCTGTCTCTTTTCTCTAAACTAAAACCAACCCACCCCCCACACACCACCCCCCCACCCCCACACACCACCCCCCCACACACACCACCACCCCCCACACACACACACCGCCCCCCACCCCCACCCCACCCACCCCACCCCCCAACCCCCTCCCCCCAAAAAAAACATGTCTACCGTCCCATTCAACGAAATATAATTATATACTTTTTCCAGTGTCCGCCCCCTCCCAGAAAATTCTACCCCCGCCCCCGAAAATTTTAAGTACCCCCCACCCCTCTCCGGGGAGGAAAAAGTCTGAAAGAAACACTGGTGTCGCGCTTAGCCACTACCCGAAGAATTGCATTAAAGAAATTGCAAGAAAACCACTTTTTAGATTAGACACATTAATTAGGCGGTATTTTATTATAGAGTATCGATGAAGAAATTTCTTTTGAGTTAGGGAGGGGGGGGGGCTCAGACGTTCTTACGCGGGGGGTGGGGCTTCGCCCCTACCCGAAGAATTGTATGAAAGAAACTCTTCACGCAAACCAGATTAGACAAAATTTCCTTTTTATTCAATGTTTACTCTCCGGTTTGAGATTATTTTCTACTCTGTGCTAAATGTGTCGACGTCATACTTCGTTTTTCGAAATACTATGCATGTTTTTAATTTCCTTGTGTTTTCTCTAGAGCGTTCTTGTCAGATAGATAGACAGACAGCGAAACTATTAGTATTAACGAGAAAAATGACCCGTTGAGGAAGGATACAACGGGCACTAGGCTGATAGTGCTGTCTCTTTTCTCTAAACTAAAACCACCCCCCCCACACACCCCCCACCCTCCCCACACCCCCACACACACCACCCCCCACCCACCCACACACCACCCCCACCCCCCCACCCCCCCCCCCACACCCCAAAAAACATGTATACCGTCCCATTCAACGAAATATAATTATGTACTTTTTCCAGTGTCCGCCCCCTCCCCGAAAATTCTACCCCCGCCACCGAAAATTTCAAGTACCCCCACCCCTCTCCGGGGAGGAAAAAGTCTAAACTAAAACCACCCCACCCCCCACACCCCACCCCCCCCCCACACCCCCCCCCCCCCCACACACACACACCACCCCCCCCCCCCCCAAAAAAAAAACATGTCTACCGTCTCATTCAACGAAATATAATTATATACTTTTTCCAGTGTCCGCCCCCTCCCCGAAAATTCTACCCCCGCCACCGAAAATTTCAAGTACCCCCACCCCTCTCCGGGGAGGAAAAAGTCTAAATTAAAACCACCCCACCCCCCACTCCCCTAAAAAAACATGTCTACCGTCCCATTCAACGAAATATAATTATATACTTTTTCCAGTGTCCGCCCCCTCCCCGAAAATTCTACCCCC